AACGCACAGCCACCTGGTGGGCAGGGTGTGCAGGTATGTGCTTTGTCAGACAGGAAAGAGGAGTGGGTATTTAGACAACAGTTGAGAGTTCCTTTCCTGGGGACCTGTCTAACTACCCTGGGCAGTTTTATATTTAATTTCTACCTATACTCCATTGACCAGAACTTAGTCATATGACTACATATAATTGCAAGTGATGCTGATTTGTTATCTATCTATCTATCTATCTATCTATCTCTATTTCTCTTCTAGCAGAGAGAGATGTTGAAGGAGGCCACCACATGCAGGCCAAGAGGGAGAAGGGTGCATGCACATTAGGGCCAGAAGAGCAGGAAATAGTTCATATAAAACGCACAGCCACCTGGTGGGCAGGGTGTGCAGGTATGTGCTTTGTCAGACAGGAAAGAGGAGTGGGTATTTAGACAACAGTTGAGAGTTCCTTTCCTGGGGACCTGTCTAACTACCCTGGGCAGTTTAGGGGACCCCTTTATCTGAAAGGCATCGGGTAGGTGAGTGGCTTTCCGAGCTTCCCCGCCTCCTCCCAGCCTCACCTTGGCCTCTCCCCTGGATACCCCTGCTAACTGAAGCCTCATTGAGTCCTTCCCCCTTTGCCCTATTCACTGTCCCCTTCTCTGCCTTTCTTTTTCTCTCACATTCCTGCAAGTCCTGCCCTGCCCATGACCCAGCTCCGACTCCCTCCTGCCCCTTGCACAAGACCCAGTCTTCTGTGCAAGATTCCCCAGGCCACTCCCAGACCCGCTTCCCCACGACGCTGGCCCCTGCGGGGACACAGTACGAAAGCCGGTTCCTTCCTCTCGTCTGGGCCCTCGGTTGGTCTCCCATCAAGAGAGCCTGCGCCTCTCTCACCAGCAGCTTGTTCGCCTTGCAGCATGCCGCAACCCTACCAGGGCTCGGCCAGGTGTGCTTCTCGCTTTAAAAGTCCATCTCACCACGGAGTTGCCGTGACCCAGCAGGTCCACTCCTAGGTGTGCGCCTCAAAGAAAAGACCTGGAAACATACGCCCCCCCCAAAACCTGTCTATTCAGAGCATGTGCTTATTCAGAGCAGCATCGCCAAAAAGTGGAAACAAACCAAATGTCCATCCACAAAAGAGGCCAGCTAGAGGGGCGTCTCTTCTCCCCCGGCCCCTTCCTCCGTCATCGCCAGCCTGCCCTAGCTCCCGGGGGGCGGGGGGTGGGGGGGGCTGTCTCCTGGTTTCTTGTTGGGTCCATCTACACAGTCTACTACTCAGCCATAACAAGAATGAAGTGCTGGCATGCGCTTCCGCGGGGAGGAAGCTTGAAACACTGTGCTGAGGGAACGCAGCCAGGCACAGGACATATTGTATGATTTCATTTCCACGAAAACGCAGAGCAGGACAACCTATCGCTCCAGAAAGTAGATTCCTCGCCCGGGGCGGGGCCGGGCTGTGGAGAGGGAAGGGGGTGCCTGCACATGGGCACGGCTTTCCTTTGGGGCCGATGGAAACGCTCGAAACTTAGATTGTGGTCGTGGGTTACAGCTCTGAACATATTAACAACCCAGTGAACTGTACACGTTGAATAGCTGAATTGGATGGTATGTAAATTATAGATCAGTTTTTAAATGTAAAAACAATCTTCAGACTCATCCCTCATTCATTAATACCTCTTGAGCCAGACCCCGTTTTGGGGGGTGAGCACCACAGACAAGGTCCCTGCTCTCCTGAGCCTGCGTTCTGGAGGGTCATTCCAGTGAAACGAAGGAAATAAACAGAGTAAGGATGGAGATGAGCAGAAGTGGGGTAGAGTAACAGGGGTGGTCAGGGAAGGCTTCTCTGAGGAGGTGACGTTGGCGCTGACACCTGAATGAGATAGTCACGTGCAAAGAACTGGGGGAGAGGCGTTTTAGGCCAACAGAACTTCAGGTCCAGCCAGTGTGTAAGAACACCCGTGGGAGCCCAGCCCCCACTGGGCCGGGGCACATCATCGGGCACAGAGTGTAGCCTGGCCTCAGGTTGGGGTCTCCCCCGGGTACCCCCAGCCATCACACAGAGCCCTGAACAAGCTGGGGTGTCTGTGCTGGGCTGACCCAGCTAGAGGGGGGCCTCTTTTCCCCTGGCCCCTTCCTCAGCCATCGCCCTGGCTGGAGCTGCAGTCTCCAGCCTGCCCTAGCTCCCAGGGGGAGCCCTTGTCCCAGGCCCCCACTCTTTCGCGGGGGCTGCCCGTCCTTTCGGGGTGGATGGGTGCTGAGGATGCCTCTGACCCTCCTCAGTTCTGCGTCCCGCCCCTCTGCCCTGGTCTTCAAGGCCGGAGATCATCCAGGGTGGGGGATCCCCGAGGCAAAATGTGAGGAGGATGTCAGCGCCCCTCCTGGGGTCACTCATTGGAACCCGTGGTCGCTCAGTCCGTGGTGACAAGGGGCAGTCATTCCCCCAACCCTGGGGAGTGGAAGGCAGGACAGGCTGTGGACACCTCGCTGCTTCAGTCCTCCTTGTTTTGAAGCCAAGCAGCCCCTTGACCACACAAAGCCACGTCAAGGTGATGGGTCACGTGTGCCCTCTGGGTAAGGCAGAGCACCTGGCCGACAGGGTCAGCAATATGCTCAAGGTCACCCAGCAAACTGGCAGGGTTGGCACCCCTGGGCGGGGCCGGGGGGGAGGACCTGGCTCCTTGCCCTCCCTCCTGTTCTCTTTAACCTTCCATGGGGAGCTGGTAATGAGTAACCTGGGCATTTCCCTGGCTCCCTAAGGACCGGCTCCCTGGACTGTCCACGCTGTTCCTGGGCCTGGGGCTCTTCCCATAACCGGCCTGACGTACCCTCTGAACCCAGGACCGGGGGAGGGCAGACTGACGGCACTGCGCTGGCCGCGGCCAGGATTGGGAGTCAAGAAACTGGATCCTGGCTCAGCGTTACTCTGCCTCCTTCCGTGTCCGGGCCCGGTTCCTGATCTGTAATATGAGGGGAGGCCTCCGAGGCCCTTGTCACTCTAGCTGTCCCTGGACCAGCCCCCGAGTCACCCAGAAGGTGCTGCAGCGGGCACAGCACCAGCCTGTGCCCCTCCTGTGGGGCATGCTTCTCTGGGCCTGGCAGTGCTCTCTGGGGGAGTCCACAGGGAGGGGCAGCAGGGCGGGGGGCGGGGAAGATCCCCGTGAGTGAGCCAAGGAGGACGGGCTGGAACAGCACTGACTGCCCAGCAGCTTCGTGAGGCAGCGCCTACTATCCCCATGTGATACGGAGGAAACTGAGGCGCAGGGGCTACGTGTACGTGGCCCGCCCCAGGCCATCCCCTGGGAAGTGGCAAAGGTGGGCCGGACCAGTCTTCCAATTGCTAGTCTAAACCCCACCGCATCTGCACTGCCAGGGCTGTTTTGACATTTTTATTTTATAATTTTCGGTTTATCCATAGTCCTGGGAGGGGCCGTTGACCAAACTATTAGGTGGCCAAGCCAGTTCGTATATTTCCTTCTGGCTCTGAGACTCCTTTTCGTGGCTGGAGAGGGTGGCCAGCAGGGAGCAGGAGGGAGATTGTGCAGAGCCTGGTCTCAGGAAGCAGCGGTGCACAGCTCTGCCCCAGAACATGAGCCCCAGGGGTCCCGCTCTGTTCTGAAGGAGTTGGTTCAGGCTGGTCTGGGAATGCCCAGGAATGGCCCTGCCGACCAGCGGCCCGGGATCTGCACGCAGTGCCCCCATTCACTGGGAGCAGTCTCCATCCCCTCATGCCCAGGAACCCAGGCCCATAGGGGCTCAGCCCGCCTCAGCCTCAGCCGGTGGGTGGCAGCTCCCACCACTGCCCAGAAGGGGAAGGAGAGGCAGGGAGGGCACTTCCCGGCAGGCTCCCCCGCCTCTCCGCCTCTCCGTTCTGCGGGCCTCTCTGCCCCCCTCCTACCTGTGGGCATCAAGTGTCCTTCTCAAGAATGACAGGGTGAGAGTGTCCCGATGGGAGAGAGGAGAGGCCTGGACAGGGCAGCCCGCTGGCCACCAGCCTTCCCCAGCCCCTTTCCTGAGCCCCTGCTGCCCTACTCAGCACCTTCCTGGCATCTCTCTGCCGCCCCCCCTACACTCCCACATCAGCCTCCTAGTCTCCCATGCTGTCTCCGCGCCATCCTGTGCGCTGGGATGAGACAGGCCTTCCCCCCGCCTCCCATTTCACCAGCTGCATCCAGCACCTTCTCAGGGCTGAGCACAGTGCAGGGCCGAGCACAGTGCCAGGCACAGTGAACAGGCGGCAGCAGATGCCTGGGCGGTGGGAGGAGGCGGGCGATGAGGCCTGCAGTGCCTCTGGAGCTCCCATCACACCAGCAGAGGGACCCTGGGGCTCATGTTCCAGCAACTGTAGCTGCAGGCTCCCTCATGCTCCCTGCTGGCCACCCCCTCCACCTGGCTGGGACTGTGGCCCAACACCAGCCTTCCAGCCTTACACACACACACACATGCACACGTGCACGCACACACATACATGCACACACACACACACATGCACGTGTGCCCTCCTCCATGGACGTGGAACGTGGCATGGAAGATCTGGGGTTAAGTCCAGGCTCCTTCAGCTACTTTCTCGGCCTTTCTCAGCCTCAGTTTACTTCGGGTCAACAATTGCAAAGTCTACCTCCCAGCATGGTCACGTGCAGGTGCCTTGGACCCTGAAGTGTTGGTCGTTGTCGTGTAAACTTTCTCCCTTGCCCCAGCTCCTTCCTGGCCTGCACCTCGACCTGCCCCAGGACTGAGTGCTGAGGCTCACTCAGGGTCCGGGGCAGGTGCCATGTGCCAGCTCTTCAGGAGCTCTCCTGTACCCGGGCACCTGTGCTTTCCCCGAGTGGTGAGTGAGTGGTGGGGCTGTCGCCACTGTGTCCTGGGTCAGCGCAGGGGACATTTGAAGGAGAGAGGGACCCTCTTGGGGTCCCTGAAGTCGGGCCAGCCAGGAGGGTGTAACATCTGGGCTCCTTAAACATCTGTGTAGGGGAGAGAAGGGGAGGGAGAGCTGGTACAAAAGACCTGCGTTTTTAGTGCCCCGAGGAGGCATGGGCATCACCTGTGTTGGCGTCAGAGGTAGGGGAGCCGGAAGCAGAAGCTCAGTGAGCGCCCAGGCTGCCCGTGCTGGGGGCCCACAGAGCAGGGCTGGCGGGGCCGGGGCAGGGATTGGGGGGTGGTCCCTGTTTTCCTCACAGTGGCCAGGGTGAGCGAGCTTTCCCATGCCCCTCACACAGCTCGGAGTGGGAACAGGCAGGGGTCATGGTCAGTAATCTGCCGGGCAGATCAGCCTGGAAACAAGAAAGAGAAAATGACGGACTATTGCGGTCAGCCGAGCCCTCTGATAACGGATTTAATCAAAGATGAGAGCTGAGCGCCAGGGTGCAGAGGCCGGACCCTCCGGGGAAGGCAGGGTCGGGGTGAGGAGGGGCGCGTTTCACTTTTCTTCACGGTGCCGCCAATTCAGACACATCTCGCCACATGCCCTGTCCCCTCCCACGCTCAGCAGCCACAGAGGCTGGCTGGGGCTCCCCAACTCTTCCTAAGTCAGAAGTTTCTGCACAACTTCTTCCTTCCAGAACCTCTTGCTGCCCAGTCTCCTTCCTCCCCACATTAGCCTGGCAGGCTGGTCCCAGAAAATACCAGGTTTCCTTCCTTCCTCTGAGAGTGCTATCAGGCAGGGTGTACAGAAAAGACCTGGACAGAGCCTTAGGCGCCCCATTCATTCCCTCGCTCACCCATTCATTCCCTCTCTCACCCATTCATTCCCTCGCTCACCCATTCATTCCCTCTCTCACCCATTCATTCCCTCTCGGGGGACAGGCCCTCCGCCTGTCTGTGGTGGGCTCCTCTGGGGGATGCCTCTCAACGGGGGTGCCCACAGAGCCCCCCATCCAGATACTGGCCAGATACAGGGCCCAACAGCTCTGCCCGTTGAGGGGGTTGCCAAGTCGCCCCGACACTTCGCTGTGGGCCTTGGGCTCAGGGAACTGTGCTTCCTGCATGTGGCCCCGCTCCCTTGAAATCCTCAAACCAGACTCCCCTCTAGTCACTTACAGGTAAACAATACAAACTTGTTGTAAGCAAAATAATAGCAGCTACACTCTGTTAAGGCCCATCGTGTCCCCGCACATACTCTCCGGAGTCCTCACAACACGGCCCCTTGTGGGGCTGCGCTCTGAGACGTGGGCTCCTTAAACATCTTGCCCGCAACCCAGAGCCAGTAAGTGACAGAGCCTCTTTCAGCGTCCTTCCCCTTCTGCCAGCGCGTGGGGGGCCGGTGCGGGCTCCGGGCCCCTCCCTGACCGCGCCCCTCCCTAACCGCAGCCTGGCCCAGTCGCTGTGGGCCCTCTTCACCTCCTCTCTGACCATCTCCCTGGTGTTCGCCGTCATCCCCTTCTGCCGCGATGTGAAGGTGCTGGCCTCCGTCATGGCGCTGGCGGGCCTGGCCATGGGCTGCATTGACACCGTGGCCAACATGCAGCTGGTGAGGATCTACCAGAAGGACTCGGCCATCTTCCTCCAGGTGAGCCCACGCAGGCACAAGCTAGGGGCGGGGAGGGGCCTGTCCCTCTGTCCGTCTCTCCCAGCTCCTCTGCCCGGGCTCAGGGTGCTGATGCAGGAACAGCACCAGGGGCACAGTTGGGTGTGACCGGCGGGGCCACGTCTCTGGGCGTAGCACGGGCCCTGCCTGCAGGGCGCTCACAGGCGTCTGGGCGCTAAGCAGAGAGTTGGTTTTCACCGGGAAGTGGCGTGACAGGGGGGCTGTTTTCCTCCTGTCTCCTCCCCCCTCCCTGCATTTCTGTTTCCTCGTCCTCCAGTTACCGGGACTTCAGCCCAGCCCTTCCCTTCACTAGCCCTCCTCCCTTTGCCGGGTGCCAACATGGGAACAGTCCGCACTGGGGGTTAAGATTTGGGGAAGGAGGGAGAGCAGCCACTGTCTTCATCGTCCCAGGACACGTGGGTGGCTGGGGAGCTCACTCCCTCTCCTGCCTCCCACTCCCTCGTTCCCACCTGGGCCAGGCAGGGGCTCCCAGACGGGACACAGACGGGGTGGGGTATGAAGCCTGAGCCATCACCCCGCACGCTCCCTCTCCTCCTTCCCCAGGTTCTCCATTTCTTTGTGGGCTTTGGGGCTCTGCTGAGCCCCCTGATCGCCGACCCCTTCCTGTCGGAGAACAGCTGCTTGCCGGCCAATAGCACGGTCAACATCACCTCTGGCAGTCACCTCTTCCACGCCTCCAGGGTCCTGGGCCAGCACCACGCGGGGGCCTGGCCTTGGGCCAACCAGACGCTCCCCGGGCTGTCCCCGCCAGACGGAGCAGGAACCCGTGTGTCCTACGC